GAGGCCCACCATGGTAGAGGTGGCAGGGACCCCCATCCACTTGAGTAATGGCAGCCTGGATGCCCTTCACCCAGCCCTCCTTATACCAAGCCATGGCCTGATGGCAAGATGAGGAACACGTGCGTGTCTCTGCAGCCCCCAGGCTCACCCCACCAAGGAACCCCTGACTCTTCCCCAAAGGGTTCGTGGCTCCAGCCAGTCCCACCAGATCCATGCAGAGGATCCTAAACCCAGGTCTGTGGAGATCCCAGCCCCAAAGCAAACCCGCCTCTCTCTTCCTGCGACCCCATGCTGGGACCCCCTTGGCCTGGCCCAGCCCAGCCTACCCCCCTGGAGAGTCAAGCCTGGAGACAGCTGGGCTGGGCCCCCATGGGCCCCCTTCCAAGGGGGAAGAGGTAGCAGGACACAGCTGGAGCTTCTAACCAGCCGGAGAAATGCAAGTCCTCAGCTGTGCCGGAGCTCCTGGGGTGGAAAAATGCGGGTAGGGTGGAAGAGGAAGGAAACGGGTGGTCTTTTTTGGGACCCCAAAGGTAAGCAAGGGCAGGCCTGATCAGAACACGTTTAGTCTATTTGCACTGCTGAGATTGACAAAGATCTGCCCAAATGTCTGATGGGCCGAGTGTACTGGGATGGAGGTTAAAAACGGAGGAGCAGCAGGTGAGCGGCGATGGGGCTCCACCCCAAACTGCACCTCTTCAGAAGCCGGACACCGAAAGCCCCCTGCCCCCTGCCAGTAGAAAAGCCCCCCGCCTGCCCTGGGCGAATGTGGAAGACCAGGTATTCGCTGCCATGGCTGGGATACTTACTAGAAACTAGCAGCTCAAAGGATTCCACCTCTGTCGCGTTGGTTGGTAAAACAATTTGTGCGGCATATCTGGCAGCATCCTCTGGCTCTAGATGGCCAAGGTGTAATTCGCTGCAGTCCTCGGAGACCTTCACTCGATTTCTGAAGGCCGGGAGCGGTGTCAGGGCGACACATGGCTCCTGAAAGGTCAGCACAGCAATAATACTAGGCTGTCCGCCGACACTTTTACTCCAAGAAATCGTTTGAAATGGTGGAGGGGTCTTCAGTTGGAAAGTGACCGACTCCCCCAGAACGCCATTCAGTCCTTTGGCTGCAGCAGCTTCTGCAGGGCCTGAGAGAAGAGAGAGGAAGACTTCGGGGTTAAGTCAGCTAAGTCAACTTTCAAGCATCCCATTTCTGACCCTCATTCCAGGAAAACCTTTGCTGAGAAAGGACAAGATGGCTCCAGGCTA